AAACACGACGCTTTAAATCTCTTGACAAACTAAAAGACGTAAATTGCATTAGTATGTATTCTAAATAAAAGATATAGATGTACTGAATGTCAGCTTGCTTATTTTGCTCAAGATCAGGATTTATTGAGTCCACATGTCATGCAAACTGGAAACTGTGTCGCTCCAAACACACAAATCTGCGACGCTGATGGCGAATGTTCGTTGGCAAACGATAGTTTCGGGAAACACACCCCAGGACGGTTAGTTTGCAGTATTATAGGTGAGGATGTGAAGAGTAAAGACTGCAGGTTCACAAAAACAGATCATGCACACAGAAGAGCCGAGACCCAGAGGAGGCATGCGCCGTCTTTAAAACAAAGACAACTTTTCTTTTAGTTTTCACCCCTGGCCTTGATTGGGATGTTTTTTTCCTTGTATTGTTCCAGATATATTTTATTGTGTTTTATTCACAATCTTGATACGTACCAAACATAAAGGACAACTGGGACACATGCAGGAACAGGGGAAATGTGGGAGATTATGTGTTATCGCGTATGAGAGAATGAGAATGATCTAGTTGTGAGTGAGGTGTCTCTTGTTTGTTTAAAGAAATGCTTGATTATGTTTCCCGATATCTCACTATGAATGAACACACACTGGGCTTCGACCCTTTTGAAAGTTTCGTGTCTTTCGTAAAGGGTATTCCGATTTGAAATGAGGTTCAGTAACACAGCACAGTAAGTCTGGAAAATGGGAGCTTTATTACTTTGGACATGAGGGGGAAAGACTAGATCTATATCAGACACAAATCACAGTTATAACCCAAGTACTGGATTTAAAGAGGCAGTGACATCAGCAAAGCCTAATAAACCCAAGCTAGTGGATATTAATCACACACTACGGGACGCCACATCAGCACACAGCGATAGAGAGATCTGACATTATTTTCAGTATGCTTGATGAGTACATTCATTGATTTCATTACTTATACTTTTCACACACAAAAATATTTCTTTGGTTATGCATGCAAATGATCTTAAGGTAACAGTTTCCATGCAATATAAGGACATATTTTCAACTCTGAACACAGATACCTCTCACGCGTGTTATAGATTCCATCTTGCATGTTGATAAAACAGTTAAAAACATCAATATACAGAACAGGCACTACACTGAAAACACCTCAGACGTCCCTCTTGTACATATTTAGTCCAAGAACACCAAGCATTATGTTTTTAAAACTGGAAAAGCTCTTTGTTGGTCAAATATTGCATTAATAATTGTCAAGGCTAAATCTGTAGCACTATATTGGCTTATTTAATTGAACGTCTTTGCATAAAAAACACTGAATGGCTTAAAAGCGGTTCCTCGAAAATACCTCTAAGCAATACTATAAAACTGCATTGCCTTCATGACGCAGATCAGCGTTTAAACAGTCATAACAAAGATTATTGTAAGGGATCTACAAAGAAAGCAAATTTGCTTTCTTATTCGGGGTGAATGTCACAAAAACATGGCCAGGTCACATTTCACGACAACTTCGAAAGAAAGGAAAATATATTTTTGCAAAAAGAAAATAAAGCCACATTAATTTGCATTGTGATTTAAGTTTTTTTTTGGTATTTCCTATTATTCTTATTGTCATTAGGTTCTCATTACTGTAATTAAATAATTATTTCTTCATTACAATGTAAAGTGTTTTACAATCTTTAAAATAATCAGAAATAACAAATATGCTGTAATGCATTTTCTTGCAAAAAAATGCAATGCAAAAAAACCTCAATGGTTCTTAATTTTTAACGCTTTATTTCCATTATGCAAAATATAATTTCTTATATAATCTTGTGATGTTGCTGTGAAAGATAAACATGTCAGATTTCTTGTGATTGACTATTCCACCACAGTAGGTTATATATTGCTCATAATGATATATAAGCTGTCAGTGAAGAGTTCACGGGGGACGGACTCATTCTCATTCAGTTCTGAAACATTCCTCAGGCCTCAGTTTGGAATGTAATGGCTATTCAGATTTAAGGAAATCCTTGTTTCCTCAAGGTGATTATCTGTTAACAGTTAATCAGGCAGAACGTACATTAATCTCGAGAAAAGCACATATTTCAAAAAAACACCTTTAGAAATCATGCTGGAAATACTGAAACCGCAAATCTTATTTTGTTAAAAACACACATTTAAGAACACGAGGACATCACTCATGCAAAACCACAAACACTACGTTGGAATAAAAAACATGACATGTACACACACACACACACACACACACACACACCTGAAAGCTAGACGATAAGGAACCACCCTTACTGAAATAAATCTTTCACAGTACATATTGAGCACACGGACACCACAGCACTGGACTTTAGGCACAGTTAGAACAGTTCTTGACCCCTGAAACCACACGACTAACAGTGACACACACATAGCCGTCAGAAGCGAACAACGACAGTGAACGGGACAGAGAAACGCCAGATTCTGAAGAGCACGAGCTCAAACTACGGCATCTGTCACTATCGGAACCTCAACAGCACCGGGGAACTGAGCTCTCGTGTTAATGGGGTTTATCTGGGATTGCGGCACTGGAAATCATTTTGCCTGGACTTGTTTTGGTCCGACAGCAACTCCATTACAGTCGAGAATGTACTGTAAACAACCTTGTGGAGGAGGACGCTGGCCGAGGGTCTTGTTGGGGTCAGTCAGGCTTTCTTTTAAGGCAGCGCTCTGTGGACACACACACACACACACACACACACACACACACACACACACACACACACACACACAACCTTCTTCAGTTTACCTGTACATTCAAGATGACATTTTAAGAGCATTTCTGGTGATTCCACACCAGGGGGCAACACTGGGCACATACACAACACTGGACACATTTAAAGAGACAGTCCACCTAAAAATTACAAGTCTGAGTTTCTTTCTTCTGTGGAACACAAATAGAAGATATCTTGAAAATGTCTGTGTGTTTTAACATCGTTTATGCATCTATATGGTGTTTTAATATGCTTTAAGACAAACCGTGTAAATTCATAACAAGACAACAGCATTGATGAATATTTTCTCCTTAAAGGCACAATATGTAAGATTTTTTTCACCACAGGAGGGCGCAGTTTCCAACAATAACAAAGGCGTAGGTTGATGACGCAGTGATGAGCTGAATGATGTAATAATGTTTTATGTATGAGTGCAAACATTCATGTTTATTAACATTACAGTGCTGCGAAGCAGGTCGCGATTGCTAAAGAGACAGATATGACACGCGTGTCCCGCGTTTATAAAGAAATAAGGACATTTAATTCTACCGGACTACCTGCAAGTGCTAGATTACTCACACAGGTCAGTTTATTAGACGAATTAAACTTGTGAGGTAACCCAGCGCTACTTCACTTTGTCTAACGTTACATTATCACACTAAACGGCTTTTAAATGTGTGTTGGAGGTTATAATGTTATAGTACTTGTTAGTTCGTTTGCTACACGAAACTAGCAGTAAGTTAGATCAACATTAGAATAACATACTGATCACATTCTAACATTTCATCCTGTTGAGCTAACGTTATATGACATTGATTTGTTTTATGTACTTTAGCTCACCTGTCCAATAAAGCTGTCAAGTCGTGACTCGTGAAGGTCTGTCGAGTCCAAGTTAGTCGCGGACGTGGAGCTCTCGCCATCTAAAAAACCCCACGCTGATATTGATCCTCATTTTAGTTCTCCTTGTTTGTCCCAAAGTCTGCTTGCCTGGTCTATGTTTGAAAGAAACAAGAACCGCGTGCCGCTAAACATTACGCACTACGCAGTTGTCCAGGGCTGTCGCCATGGTTACGTCATGGCTATGGCAGTATGAACGAAAATCGAGGATAGCGCGGATATTGCGTCATTGACAGGCGGCATTTTTTTTCCGGGAATTTCTCTGAAATAAAACATCTTTGGAGACTTTTGGGATATTGTACACATCTGCAGGAAATATATCGCAGTGTGCAAGTGATTTTTGGATATTTTATCACACAATTTTTACATATTGTCCCTTTAAAACTGCAGTGGACCAAAGACAGTCTCAAAAACACAGTTTGAAATCGCTGGTGTTTCTGACGTCACAAGCTACCTTGTAACCAATCAGATCAATGTGTGTTAGTCAACCAGTGGATCTCTGAGCTGGAGGCGGGGCTAATTTGCATAGTCATAGAACCGTACATACTAAATGAGGCAAGGGTGTCGAGTTACATTCAAGTTATTTTAAGGCATGAAGAAATTTTTTTCAAGGAAAAAAAAATTTAAATTATAAACTACATTTAAGTTTAGAATTATTCATAAAATTATTGACTACAGGGGGACTCTAATAGTTTGCATGTTAATTTTTGTGTAGGCTAATGTTTTTGTAATTTCATTGTGTGCTTTTGTCATTTTTGTCAGTTTTAGTTTTAAAGTCAACTTAATAATTTCAGTGCTTGAATTTAAACTTTTTGCAGTTCATTGCCAAAGCAGCATTTCTAATTTTCATTTAGCTTTAGTTTTTCAACTAATATTTATGGTACACTTTATTTTATGTCAGGTTTATTTCAATTTAACAAATATGTTTTTAATTCCTACATGCAACAACCTTGGTCAGTTAAAATTCGGTAGATGTAAACACACATTGTTTTGCTCAGTGTGCAGTACATTTGTTTATTGGAATATCATTTCTTGCACCAAACTTATCATTTCCATTGTATTAGTGTTATGAATCCTGAAATCCTCTCGATCACCACCAGAGGGCCTGAATATTTGTCTATTCCCTTCTAAACTACATTTCCCATGATCCCATGCCTGGACTTATTCCCTGCACACCTGTCTCCTATTCCTGTGGTTATTCAAGCACTGAACTAACACTGTTTTAACATTATATTTTTTATCATTATATTTATTTAAGTATTCATCGCTTGTTTGCCTGATGGTGTTAATGTTAATAAAGCTGCAGATGGATCTAAACCCCAGTGCCTCGATCTGCATCTTCTATAGGGCTTCTGATGGTTGGGGTTTGGTGACGTACGTGTGCAGGTTGTGCAGTGGTCGCAGGTGTGTGTGGAGAACGTGAGCTCGAGCGACTGGGTTCCTGGTTCATCTTGGCCAGAACGATGGCGGCGATCAGCTGACGGTCCTCAGCCTGGTGTTCACCAATGAGCTGCATCGAAGAGCCCACCACCTGCACACACACACACACACCAGCATTAAAGAGGAGCAGCAGCGGTTCTCCACTTTCAAGGGAATCCAAGACACAAAACAACAGTTTTAAAGGTATAGTTCACCCATTATTTACTCTTCCTCATGTTGTTCCAAACCTGTTTGAGTTTCTTTCTTCTGCTAAATTTAAAGGACGATATTTTGAAGAATATGAACATGTGAAGAATATATTAACTATTTATTAAAAATAAAATAACTATACAAAGACAGTGAATAAACTATTTACGAATAGAAATCACAGTTGATTGATTGCGTTAAAATTGCAACAACAAATAAATGTGTTACATGTTTTCTCAAATGTTGTTTAAATATGCAAATTAGGCATTATCAAGTTAATTAAAAAACAATTTACACACATTTCCAGAAGAGAAATCTGAACATTGGAAAATTTAAATTCTTGTGTAAAAAATGATTGCTGTGATTTTTTATCACAACTTAAGATTCAACATTAGAATAACAAATAATGTGTTGTTTAAAGTTAAAAAGGTGTGTGTTTGTGCTTGACTTGAAATATTAAGTTTAACTTTAGTTAAGTTGTTATAACTAAAAAAGCACATTTTTTTACAGTGCAAAGCTGCTGAAGTGGAGATTTCTGACTCAAAATGTACAGACATGAAATAAAATAAACTTAAATGTGTGTTATGATGTTTTCTGTCCACTGGTCTGAAAGAAAATGTTATGGAAGCAAAATGACTAAAATCTCCAAATGGACCAGTGCTTGAATAAATGTTCCTCTATATTTTTACTCATTTCTTCCACTTTTCCTGTGAGGATGGGGCGTGTTGTTGGACAGGGAACAGATAAAACTCTTCTAATAAAACTCTTCTAATACATGAAGTCTAACAGTTAACAGCTTTTGATGTGCTGTAAATGAGGATAGAAAACAGTTTCCATAGCAACATAGCCAAGTCATATCACCAAGTCTCTCATGATGAAGCCAAGCATTTCCAGCAGCTTCCCCTTACCCTGATGATCTATATACAGGGGTTGGACAATGAAACTGAAACACTGGCCAATGTTGGAGGTTTCACATCTATATGCCTGGCGGCCAATCTTCAGAGTGAAGCACGGGTGGATCAGTGATGGTTTGAGCTCCAATATCATGACAATCCTGATTGTATTTGATGGACACGACACTGCCGAGGACTACCAAACCCTTCTGGAGGATCATGAGCACCTGATGCTCAAACCGTGTATCAGCATGATCATGCACCAACACACACAGCAAGACTTGTGACAGAAGGGTTTGATGAAGATGAAAGTGACGTTGAACATCTCCCATGGTCTGACAGTCACCAGATCTGAATATTATTGAGGTGTTTTGGAGGAGCGAGTCCACCAGCATCATATAGTGACCTGGACACTGTTCTGGAAGAGGAACGGCTCATAATCCCTCTGGTCACTGTGAAGGACTTCTATCTGTCAATTGGTGCTGTATTTGGATGCAAAATGAGGCCCTCACCATTCTAACAAATTATTGTGTAGTAAAACCAGGTGTTTCAGTTTTTTTGTCCAACCCCTGTACACTTTTAGAAGAAATGGTTCCATCCCCCGCTTCATATATGAAACTCCAAAATGGTTCTATATAGAACCATTTTTTTTGGGTAAAAGGTTCTATTGGCCAAGTACGGAACCCCAGGGTTCTATATAGAACCCAGAGGAACCCTTTTTTTAAACCAGTACTTCTGGTCTTAATCTCTGTTTTTTCTGTTTCTTCATATAATTTCAGATGCACTCGATGATGGTGAGATCCGAACGCCGTGTGGAGCATTGGCTGTTGTCAGAATCCTTGTGCATTCAAAAATTTCACTGGATTATTACAATTAATGGCACAATTAATGTCTGGAAATGTAAACTGATATTTCCTCATGAGACACTACAACAAAAGATATAAATAACTGGCTTAAAACCATTTCTTTGAGGCGAAAATACTAGTGTGCCTAAGACTTCTGCACAGTACTATATGTATATGTGATAAAACAACACCAAATAGACAATGACAGTTCCACACAGAGCGCTTGTGAAGCTAGAGCTGCTCTGTTTGGGCAGGTTTTAGTTTCCCAGTTCTTGACATCACCCGCTTCTGATGTTGAGCCTCAGCATTGGACTGATTTCACATGTGCCCTGAGATCATGACATCACATCATATAATTAATGCTTATAATACTAATAAAACACTTCAGTCTGGCGTTGAACTGAGCGTTCCCTTAGCGTCAATCAACGCAGCGCGAGTTGCCTTGACTGCCGCAATGTCTGACTCAGATTCCCAACAATAGATTTGTCATGCATTTATGTGTTTTTTGGAAAACCTCACAAAACAAACACACTCACTGTGGTAAAACGCCTACTCGTGTGACTAGAATCCTTATAATACTAGTTAAGCAGTGATCTCGAGGTCGATAAATGAACGCTCACTCTCACCTCAGTGATATAATCCTTCCCGTCTTTCCCATGTATGGCTTTGACAGCACAGATGTCCAGACCTCCGAAGACATCGGCACAGGCGTCCACCCACAGCTTATATCTACAGGAGAGAACATCACATATCTATCTAATATATCTACAGGAGAGAAGATCACATGTCTATCTATTGAGATCACATATCTATTTACAGGAGAGAAGATCACAAGCTCTCAGTTTCACAATTTAATCATTTCTATCCTCTTATGTGCAATTCCATCATAGAGGTTTAACTCCAAGGACAGCAAGCCATGTTAGCCTTCAAGGTTGAATATGCAGGCGAACTAGTGAAATGTACATTCATGCATATGAGAGATCCTTTTATCCATTCAAAGTACAACATTTCTTTTTTTATCAGCCTTTCAAACACATGCAAGCGCCGCAACCGAACTCAACGGAACAAAACTCACTGTCCGTCCGTGAGTTATTCTCCAAGATCTTTTCATTGATTGCAAACCTGGTGGAGTCTGTGAAAGCCTGTGTGTGTGTGTGTGTGGGTTACTCACTTGTCAGTCATGGCCACTTGCTCCAGCATGGCAGAGCCGGTGTTTGACTTCCAGTTGCCAGAGATAGATGTTCTCCTGTGAATTATAATTATTAATCACGTCACATTCAGTGTGCGTTAGATCTAGGCCAACCATTATCGTACCAGAGTTCGTTTTTATGAAACACACCCTAAAAGCATCTGTAGTTGCCAACCAGTTGGAAATCGTACTGTACATCCATAATTAAAAAGTTACAAAAACATGCAGATCAAATGAAGCAGTTTTCTCCTTCCGATATTTGGTCTCGACAAGGGTCGTTTCAACATTTACAGGGTTAGTCTGTGATATCATTGCCGTCTGAATCCAGAAGCTCCGTGTTTTACTCCTTCCACCCGCGTGCAAATCCCAAGCCAAATCTTCTTCTGTTTTCTGACAAACACCAAACTCTGAATCCACATCTCTGGATTTACAAGAAGAGATCACTTCAAAACTCACTGTTTAAATCCTTTTTGATCTCTGACGAACACCGCACGTACGATAACTGTCGCGCTTCACTGTAATATACATGAATTTTAAAGATGTACACTTTTATAACTGAATTGCTGGAAAGTATCGACAAGAACAATATTTCACCTCAGCGAACAAAAAAGAGAAAGAGAAAAAGGCACGTAAACATTTGAAATGGGCCATATTGTGACAGCGATATATATGATACAATTTTAGATGTATTTTTACAGACATCCACATGAGAAACAATATCTGAATGGGGCGTATGATGGTCTACACACAAGAGCTGAATCCTGAGGGAATTTTTTTTAAGCATAGCTCCATTTGCATGAAAGTTTATATTCAAATGATTTACACCAACTATGATCAGATGAGCTATGATCAGGTAGAACCAGGTTGTACACGTAGTGTGTGTTGCTGGAAGGATCAGGGATATCTACACCAATTGGTTCCCAACCAGAGGGTCTCAAGACTCTTAAAAATAAAGGTTCTGGCTTTGATGGTCAGGTCAAGCTGGTCTGAGCATCAGTTCACGGACCGGGAGAATGTGATCGTGGACTTACATGTAGGCTTTGTAATCCGAGCCGATCTTCTGGACCCTGATGTCATACTTGGCGTGGATGAAAGGCTCAGTGGTTGTGTATGTCTGAGTGATGGCCACGACACTCGCGATGTCCTGGAAGTCACTGTGATTGTCAACTTTCACCTGCCAGGGTTCAAATGTTATTAATGTCGTGTCAACTTAGCTCTATTTATACAGAGCTTTTTACAACACAAAGAGTTTCAAAGCAGCTTTACAGAGATCACAGGAAAATAATGCAACAAAGTTTGTTTCCAGAAGAAAATAGCATCACAGTCCAGCTCCACTTACTGAAGTGATGGTTCATTTTTGTTGAAAAAAGCTAATTTAGTTAATTTATATATATATATATATATATATAAATGAAGAAAACTGTGATGTCATCGTCCAGCTATAGTGTGATTACTGAAATGTTATTTTTATGTATTCTCTAATGTCTGTATTTGATATCTGAATGCAGTGCTTGCTGTGTCTGTGTGTGTAGGGTATAACTGGTGTGTGTGTGTATGTGTGTGGTGTAGGGTATAACTGATTAATATTATTGTTGAATATGAAGTTAAATGTTAAATTTAATGTCCCCAACTAAGCAAGCCAAAAACCAATGAGCTGAATGATGAAACCGTATTACAATAGACCATTTCACAAGATGTAAACAACACTGGTCCAGAAACACTCCCTGTTTCATTTTGTAACTGTTTTCTTTATTTCACATGTAAAGAAAACATCTAAAAGATGTTTTTTTTTACTTTTTGATTCAGTTTTAAATGTTCTGTTGGTTGTATTTTATCCCAGCTTTTATGTAGTGTTAAAAAACTGAAACAGGAAGAGCTTCTGGACCAGTGTTGTTTCCATCTTGTGAAATGGTTAATGGAAGCCGTCTTAGACACGGTCTCACAGTCCAGCACTAAGGTAAAGGTGAAGTGTGTATGTCTGTGAAATAAGATAATAAATGAATTCAAAATATTAATATAAACTATAATAGCATAAATAAAATGAGACTGGTACCTTTCCCATCCCAGAATGGGCATGTCCGATCTTCACCACCACAGGGAATGTTGGCATAGAGATCTGAAACACAGGAGCATTGTTTTCATTATTTACTCTATATCACTATATTTCACTAGTCACTATGTTTTATTGAGAGGAGAACCTAACTTAACTGAAACTGATTGAGCCATCTCTATCATCTGGTTGAGGTATATGCAACCCAATTTCACGACCAAGTCGTACGAATTTGACGAATGATAAAAAAGGGGCTAAATCATATGAATTCATACGACCTCACTTGTACGAATTAGTACGATTTTGCTAAATCGTACATATTTTACGAATTGGCCAATTCGTATGAGTTCGTACGAATGACCTACCCCTTACCCCGCCCCTAAACCTACCCATCACGTGGGTTTAGACAAATCGTACGAATTCGACGAATTCGTACGAAATGGTCGTGAGATAGGGTAGGGTATATTATGCCAAAAAAAAAAAAAATCCACTAGATTTCACAGTGTCAGTCAACAGCATTTCTCACATCACTTCTTCTAACATGGATGTCAGAAACAAATAAATCACCCCAGCCATGTGAACTGTTTTTGGTGAAATTTTGCAAGCTAAGCATATTTTTTTTTTACATATTACACTGTAAGAGCCTTGATTTTACAAAATGATGTTACTTGGTGCTATGAAAAAAATTAAGTATATTTTTAATAATTTTTCAAAAAAATGCTCAACCAAACGGTTGATTTTTTGAGAATGGACATTACAATGCACTATTAAAACTTGGTTGTAATTCAAGTATGCTTTGGAATAAAGACCTAAGTTTTGTTTTAAAGAAAACACTCAAGTAAAAGCACTTCAAAAAATAAAAGTATGAAAAATTTATGGAAGTTTTAAATTTACATTAAATCAAATATACTGTACTAAATATTTTTCCTATAAAATTATAAAATCAAATCCATATATCTAACCAAGTTGTGTTCCAAATATGAAGTTGATATCACAAAAATTGAAGTTCTCATGAGATTTTGATTAAGCGTAATACCAAAAATGACATAAATTCCTTTGAATTTAATTGTATGCATTCTGCTGTAACAAATTAATACATTTCTGTACAAATATCACTTCTGTTACAAAATATGGGACCTTGAGACTGACAATGAGTTTTGTCAAGACTAAAAAGGTTTTGATCATAAAATATGATGGGCAATGAAAAAGTATGGCAAAGTATCTTTATGAATTCTGGTAACATTTATTACCATTAAGTGACATCTCAACCATTTGGTAGAGGCCGAAATTTAAAAAAATTATGAAATGTGTTGAAAAAAAAACCAACATTGAGTGTGGTTACTAATGACACAAGAAGATAAGAAATGCAAACAAAAAAATTTTCATCACTTTTTTCTTGGTGCGGACTTCAAAGGGTTAATACTTTATCAATATTTGCTTTATTTACTGAGATCCAGGAACTGGTCATTGCGCATAAGAAGACGCCATTAAAAGTTATCAGCACATTTCAGAATAACAGCACACCCAAAGAAATGACTGATGAGGAATAGAAACCAACATGAACTTTAATACTAGGCTATACCTCACCCTCATAAAAACATATATTGGAAATTGATATTAAAAATGCCTCTATTATGCTAGTTTTAATGGTTCCTAATGTTGTTTTGGCGTCTCCAACAAGTTTACAGTCATCCACGGTCAAAAACACTGTAATGTCCTCATAATCTCCACTGCAGCTTCAGCTCTTTCTCTCAGTGTCTGAAACGCTTCCATTGAGGATTCAGTCTTACTAAGCCCCGCCCTCTGAGAGCTGCTCTGCTCTGATTGGTCAGAAAGCAAACGCTCATTATCATATCTGAATCTCAGTTCTTGATCACAGTAATACGAACAGTAACGATGCCGTGGGTTTTACCGTATCAATCTCATCAAAGTGGATTTGCTTTGTCAGCAGAAAACAGCGTCTTCGCGACACAAACAACATGAACCAAACTCTTCAAGTCTCAGATACTCTACAGTGTTTGAGGGAGGAGCTAAGAGACGCTGCTCAGCCAATCAGGACCAGAGGCGGGCATTATGCAAATGAGTTACAAACCTGAGACTGAATTACTGACGATTCGTGTCAGTTCAGAATCGCTTTTTTCTTTTGAGAGACAAAAACTCAATTTATCTTTGATCTGTGAAACTTTACATTCAGCTTACACACTTCATGAAAGGAAATATCAAAAAAGCAACTTCTAAGAGTATGCTATGATGAAATGAATTCAGCAGGTTGTGTTCCAGTCACGTTTAGTTTCGTGTTCCTGTTTTCCTTATGTCCCTTAGTCTCCTTCTTAATTATTAACATGGATTCTGTCATCATCAGTGATAATGTGGTTAAGTTATGATCTTCTCCTGTGTGTTCCTTATTTATGGCAGTTTTTGTTTCTCTATGCACTTTATTAAGACACTTCCATGAGTGTCATAATCCTAATGTTATGGTTATAATTCTACAATGTAATGGAGTGTCATTGTTTAACTTCTGTTAGTCATCTGCTCTGTACTACATCTATAACTGTGCATAACTGCATGACTGTGGTGTAGTGTGTGTGAACAAGACCTGTTTATCTTCTGGCCACAAACCACTGACTGTCTTTATTGCACGCAAGCAGTTTTACTTTCATAATCTGATCATTCACAGTCAAACTCGACTGATTGTACAATCAGATCATCAGTCATCTCCACAGATTCTGAGTGTGTATGTGTGTGTGATTGTGTGAGAGAGAGCATGTGTGTGTGTGTGTAGAGGGTGGGGTGTGTTTATTACAGTAGAAGGCTGGTCTTGTCCTGAAGTTATAAATGACTCGCAGCCCCTCGAGACTGAAGGAGATCATCGACAGACACACACACACACAGAGGAAGAACTTCATTCAGTGTGTGTTTCATACAGTTGCCGATCTGCGAGTGTGTGAGCATGACGATGAGCGTCTCGCTGTCTGCTGCGCTCCTGGTGTGTGCGTGTGTGTGTGTGAGCGAGAGCTGCACCTGTTTTCCAGCTCATCCACAGGAGTTATTCTGCAGTTCTTCGATAGGTACGTCACACTGGAGCTCAATCTCATTACAGCTGGATTACACAGATTTTAAAAAATGGAAACACTTTACAATAAAGTTCATTATTTAACATTAGTTGATGTATGAACTAACATAAACCTACTTTGATCAATACATTTGTTACAGTATTTATTTATCTTTGTTAATGTTAGTTAATAAAATCCAGCTGTTCATGGCTTGTCTACGTTCGCGGTGCATTAGGAGTAGTTCACTTTTCAAAAAACTTTTGCTGATAATTTACTCACCCCCATGTCATCCAAGAAGTTCATGTCTTTCTTTCTTTAGTCGAAAAGAAATTAAGGTTTTTGATGAAAACATTCCAGGATTTTTCTCCATATAATGCACTTCAGTGGGAAAAAAAAGGCATTTTTAGTGCAAACTGCAAACTGTTCAAAAGGCTTTAAACGACACCAGACGATGAATAAGGGTCTTATCAAGCGAAACGATTGGTCATTTAAAAAATAAATAACAACGTTTAAGTTTTATAAGCTCAAATGTTCGCCTTGCTCTGTTCTGTGTGATTCTCCTGTTCGAACTCTTTTTCCGAGTCAGTTCATTCGTTGAATGAACCAAATGACTCGGGAAAAGATTCGTTCATTTTGATGAACGAGTTTGAACAGGAGAGTCACAAATGTGCGTCACAGAACAGAGCAAGGCGAGCATTTGAGCTTATAAAACTTAAACTTTGTTATTTATTTATTAAATGAGCGATCGTATCGCTTGAAACGATCACTGGAAGTGTCTTTTGGACCTTGAAGCGTTTGGTTCCTACTGAAGTGCATTATATGGAGAAAAATCCTGGGATATTTTCATCAAAAACCTTAATTTCTTTTCATCTGAAGAAAGAATGACGTGGACATCTTGGATGACATGGGGGTGAGTAAATTATCAGCAAAAGTTTTTTCAAAAGTGAACTATTCCTTTAACTAATGTTAACAAATACAACCTTTGAATTTAATACCGCATTAGTAAATGATGAAATTAATTTTAACTAAGATTAATAAATGCTGTATAAGCGCAGTTCATTATTAGTTCATTATTAACTAATGTTAACTAATGAACCTTATGTAAAGTGTTAACAAAACTTTATACTTTAAATTTTATTGAATATTAAATATAAATTCTCACTAATTTGTCTTTTTTTATCTTTTGAATAACAGCATTTTGCTTATGAATGTTCAGAAAGTCTTCCAGTTTTGTAGAATCTAACAAGTTAGAGGCCACACGGCATAACAAACACAATATCTCCCCAGTTTGATGTAATTTTGTTCATGAAAAATTTGCAACAATTTTTTTCACTTTGCATTTTTGTTCAATAGTACCAGAATATCCTAAACATAAAGTCAGACGTAATCTAATCAGTCCGAAAATGTGTAACATTACATTCTTCATCATGCAATTTTTCATTCTGCAATGGATTAGAATTTGTAAGTAATACCCAGCACTGCTAAAGCACTCTTTGTTCATAATTTTCCCATTTAAATACTGTGAGAAATCAGATATCTATCAAGAACATTTCACTGTCACAGTCTAATATTTCATAAACATTTGCGCTAAATTAAATGCCTGTTATCAACACGCACATTATGCACGGATAAAAGTTCAGTGATCTAGTAAGAAATGGCTTACAAACAGATTTAGATTCAGATTTTTTTGGGAAAAACAAGACAAAGGTATTCATCAAGAGTCTTTGTGGTTTAAATGTTGATTTTCCAATATGGAAAGCGTGTGGATCCCTGTTTCCGTGCGTCAGAGTTGCTTTGGCATTCCAGACCTTGTTCTGGGATAATCAGGCATGGAATGACCGGCATGGGTTTGTACAGACATGCCGATGCCTGTGGCTTTCACTGAACCAATATAATAAACCCACATAATCCCTCTGCTAGAAAACATCAGTCTGCCAGTCCTCTCACTTCCAAACTATTGATTTTTTTGAAGTTTTGCATTTGATTTTTTATGAAGATTGTTTTTCAGGCTCTTGCTTGATTTTCTCCAGAGGGATAAAGATCTTGTGGCGATGCATTCGCATTAGGAATCTCAGCACCAGTGTTGGGAGTAACGCATTACAAAAGTAATACATTACAGTAACATATTACTTTTTGCTGTAACGCAGTAGTGTAAGGCATTACTAATCAATTTTCAGTAATATTTTACTCGTTACATGTTCAGTGAGGCTTGTATTACAGTTGTATTACAGTGTATTGTCTGCTTTTACTTCTTAAAGGCAACAGACTATGTGAAAGTTTTAAAGCAGTCTTTTAGTGCCAGTTCAGAGCGGTCCCGTCTGTAACATTGTTTTTTCCTCATAAACGAACACGAAAACTAAAATAAAATAAATATTTTAAGTTCTATGGAGACTGGAGAGCCAACCCTTCCTCATCCGATTTGCGCAGTGTAATTAACAGAATTACAAAAAATATATTTTGCCTCCTATTTTTTATCACTCATGAATGTGTGTCTTTTCCCTAACATTAAAAATAAAACATAGACTGATATTTGTCTAATGTCTGGAGTCCTTTAAGGAAGTAGCCTATATACGTTTCAATACATGTATTTTCTGAGACTTTTTATTTCAAGTTTTGACTGCAAATGTCATGTCCATAATGCTGGACTTCCCCAATTTTAAATAATTTATCCTCAACTAGTTTTGTGGTGTAGGTCTACGTATTTTATAATGTTAACTTCAAATAATACTAATAGCCTAATTTAAAGATAAGGCAGAATTGGATATGGACGGTAAGGAGAATAACGCTGGAGTTGGCGATTCTGTAGGTTCGTGGATCTGAGTCGTGTGGCGAATCGCGATTTCGGTTTCATATTGCATATCGTTACAGCCCAAAAGTTAAGTTCTACTTAGTTATTTTGGTGAAAGTAACTCAAAAGTAATACATGAGTAATGTAACGCATTACAATTCTGAGACAGTAATATTGTAAGGTAATGAATTACTTTTAAATAACAGTAACAAGTAATACCTAATGTATTACAGTTTGGAAGTAACTTGCACAACACTGCTCAGCACTACACGAGAGACGGCTTTCTGTGTGCGAACTACAGATTGAGTTCTGCGTTTGAATGGTTTAAATCACACTACGGGTGTGTCGACCCTTGGTTAAGAGTCAACACATGACCCTTAACCAATGTTAGAGCGGTTCATTAGAATAGACGTGATGCAGCATCATTGTTCGGCAAGGTCCGTCACAGAAATATATACCATAAAAATCATTTCTTTTTGCTTTGTATCTTTAGGTTCGGTGTTGAACTGGCTTTTTAAATTTTATTATATTGTTGTCTGAGGTCAATTTATGACGTTTGCTTGGTTTTTACATTCAAAAACATCAAAATGAAAAAGTAATAGGCTATTTTCTACCCTAGTTTTGAGCCCAGCTCAGAAACGCTCGGTTTTCATGGGCGTCTCGCACTGAAGACTTGGAAGTAAATGCCCATTGCTGTGAGTGGATAACAGTTTTGCATATTATAATGAGTTTCAACTCACCCGTCGATGCACTTGTTTTGAAAAGTCCAATGTTGTAAAATGGCAACCGGAATGATTCGCCCATATATGTTCGACCCAGAGTCCGTGTGTTGCACAATTCCTGTCAGATCCAATATAGACGGCACAGCAGCGTTCGTTACTCTTAATCGGTCTGCAAATCCAGTCTTGTTGACAAAACAATCCTCAGTGAACAGACGACGATGTTTTTCCCTCATTAGTTGGAACGTCATTAAAAATAAGTTTATCCATGCAGTCCTATTGGAATCCAGAGGAAGCTTATGCAGCGACTGTCATCTTCCACAACCAGGCACTGCACAATATTTTGTATTGCTCTGTAGCTTGATCTGGTTTGTCATCACGAGGTAGGCATCTATGTTATTTGGCTATATGCGGTGGGCGGGGCTAAACCGGCCGTTGAAGTAGGCGTTAATCTTCTTCTTTTATTGGACTAATAAGGACGTTTTCAGTTCTGAAACTTACAGGATATTCTTATAATATGATGACCTCTTAGATGTCAAAAGCTCAAGGAAAATTTGATTCCTCAGTTCATCACCCCTTTAATAATGACAGTGTGAATGCGTGAACCAAGACTAAATGTATCATTTTCTTTTAGGGTCCAAAAGAGCCAAACGAACTGAAATGCACACACAGGAATCAATAATTTTATATCAAGTATTCAATTCCTGACCTTAAGTATCCGATTCCCACAATAACCCTTTCAGCCACAGTAGTTTTAGGCATTAATAGCTGGACTATTAGTTATTGATTTTCTAATGTATTAAAGGATATTTAAAAATCAATTCTGTAAGACACAGGTGATTCCCTCTATGACACAGCTACATTCTGAACTCTTATATGACGCCGCCTCAAAAATGTATTTTCATGTGTTCAGCCTCACACACTGTATTTAACAACTGATGATTTTTCCCATTAGTGATGCGAGCTGAGGTAACTGGGGAGAAGATCTTACCAGGAGAGATAAATATAGATGGTATGGGGGAAGTTCAATATGACATCAAAGTGTTGAAGGTGAGATAAAGTATTGATGATCATAAATGTTCTGCTGGCAATTATAATGATATAGCATGCTTTTCCTGGGATAGATTGGACTGATGTCAAAATGAGGAGTGCGTTTCCCGAAAGCATCGTTAGCCAACTACAGTCGCAAGTTCAGTCGATAACCGCAGTTCCACCGTTTCCCGAAACCATCGTTTGTCAACAAACATTGCAGAGTTGTGTGTTTGACAGATCTAGATCTCGACCTGTGGTTAGAAGCAGAGTTTCTAGTTTTCATGACATGTGACTCAATAAATCCTGATCTTGAGCAAAATAAGCAAGCTGACAATCTATATCTTTTTTTTTAGAACACATACTGATGTCATTTACATCTTTTAGTTTGTCAAGAGATTTAAAGCGTCGTGTTTGAAGAGTGCGCATGTGTGAACGAGCTCTAGTGTGTATGATCGAATCTGGAAATAAAGCAAAATAACTGAGAAAAATGAGAAATATTCCTCAGATGCCATGATCGTAATTTATAGTTAAAAAAAACATCTCGCATTAATTCCATCTCAAACACATTCATTAAAAGTATTATTTCTCCAACACCTGTGTGACGTCATTAACCAACGTGATTGAATGACCAATTTGCGATAATAGGTTTCGGGAAACAGTCGTGACTAGCTTGATGATTTCTTCAGCGATGCATTGTACTATGTGAACAGCGAGTTACAGCGTTATATGGGAAACACACTCCTGAATAGTCCATGAGTAAAATGGAGAGTTTCTTGTAGACACATGAACGTATGACATGTGCTTTGTTTGTGAACAAATCCAAAGCTTTTTTTGCTGAAATCTGTCATGATTCTGCCCTGTGGTTGATTTTCTCTGGTCATGAGGCAGGATCATGACAGAATCATGTTTTGTGTACAAGCGCATGGTCTGTTGTTTGGGCCATGTGCTTGTGTTGTCTCGTTACGTTACCCCGCCCCCTTGTTATCCTCGTCTTGTGATTATTGTCTAGTCAGTTTCACCTGTCCTTGTCATTAGTGTTCCCTTAACCCCCTTGTGTTTGCTGTCTTGTGTCGGTTCATTGCCATATGTTGCCAAATGTTAGCCGTGCCAAGTTTGTAATTACCTGTGAAGAGTATTTGTCCTGGTTTTCTATTGCTCGTGTCAGTCGTTTATTTAGTAGAATTTTGTCTGTACCTTGTCTAGTCTGTCACCTTGTCAGAGTCTTGTTTTGCCCCCTCGTGGGCTTTTGGTTTTCCCTATTTGTCTACAATAAACTATCTGTGATTGCACACCGTCTGCTTTTGGGTTCATCCGTCATCCATACCCTAACAGAAATCACGTGACTTTGGCGGTTTGATACACGCGCCCAATCACTGGTTCGAAACAAAGGATTCGAAGCCTCGCAGCGCGTTTCTGTAGCGTCCGACACTCGAGACTCTATTTTAAATATAATAATTTTTAAATAATGGATCTGCAGACCCAAAACACAATACACTGCTATACAATATCAACAATGGTTTTACAAAATCTTGGTTTTGCAGGTGTTCAAAGGTTCATCTGAAAGAATAAAGAAAATCAAGTATGCCTCTACAAGTGAGATGTGTTCAATGTGTGGGATCAGACTGAATCACGGCCAGTATCTGCTGTCAGGTAAACACAAAGTTCAGTCGTGAAACTCTAGATGGCGCAGATAATGTTGTGATTGTTAACTGTCACTTGGCGCTCTTTTTTATTGCCTGCTTTTTTCATATCACTTACATATTTTAGTGATCATTATAAATAGGGCTTGGGCGTCGTGACGTCATTACTTGGCGTGGCGGCCATGTTGACAGCTTTAGGAATGTAAAAATACTACCCTATCTCACGACCAATTCGTACGAATTCGTACGAATGATTCAAAAGTGGCTAATTCGTACTAATTCATACGACCTCACTCGTACAAATTTGTACGATTTGTCTAAACCCACGTGACGGTTATGTTTAGGGGCGGGGTCAGGGGTAGGTCATTCGTACGAATTCATACGAATTGGCTAATTCGTAAAATATGTACGAATTAGCTAAATCGTACTAATTCGTACGAGTGAGGTTGTACAAATTGTTACGAATTAGCCACCTCGTAAAATTTGTACGAATTCCCGTGAGATCGGGTTGAAAAATACAGCAAGTCGAACGAGGAGAAGCAACAGAGTTGATGGATGTGGCAAAAGGATGTGGAATTTATTGGGATGTGTTAAATATATGGAAGCCAGGGACCGGTATGTGGACAAAACTGGCACTTTTAACGGTTTGGATCCATATGAAATTTCCAACAAAGAGTCAGCAAACAGTGGGAACACAGTAATCCGGACAAAGAAGATGCGCTCCACCTAGGTGCTAGTTTAGTAACTGTTAGTGCTAACAATCATTCACACATGTAGTTTTAACTGTGTTTCAAAAGTGTACTTAGTACCGTTAGCTGTCAAACCTTCCTTTTTTTCTGGGTTTCACACGTATTTGAGATCTTTTCCAGCTGTCGTCCTGTTTTTTCTGTAAAATATCCCGTATTTTAATACTCTCATAACATTGACGTTAGACCTTCCTTCGGACCTGTCAGTCTCTGTACTGTTGTCCTGTTGCTACCCCCTTGCCCTCAGTATCGTTTTGCTTACTAACTTAAGTTTTGCTTAAAACAGCTACTAACTACACTTTTAAACACATAGTTAAAAGTATGTTACATGTGTGAATGGTTGTTACCACTATAACTGTTACTAAACTAGCAGCTAGGTGAAGCACAGTTTACCTTTGTCTTAATTAAGTTACTGTGCTCCCACTGTTTGTTGGAAATTTCATACGGATCCAAGTGCTGTTTTTGTCCCTGTAAACGTATCCCGCATCCTTTTAGGGATTTTAACATCTTTTTTATTTTCTTTCTCCCAACTCTGCTGCTTCTCTTCGTTCGACTTGCTGTATTTTTACATTCGCGAAGCTGTCAACATGGCTGCCAAATCCCAGAATGCAAAGCAGTGCCCAAGCCCTATGTCATTCGAAAGCTTACAAACTCAGAAATGTATCCTGTGAAAACCATTTTGAGATTGGATGTTGTCTTACTATGGAAATGGTACTTTAAATTATTTTAGCAGGCTCCTCCCCTAGTGGACAGAGTCAGGTTACAAAATTATTTTAACTACTTTATAATCTAAACTTTTCTAATCTTGACACAACCCATATCGTTGGAAAGGTCTGAGTCTCGTTAATTTACTGCTCGATGACCCAAGTGGCTTGCTGTCGGCTGCATGACATGTTCCCTGTTTTTTTTTAATGTGTTTTATAACTTTTATACATCAACATGTCAGGTCGCTCCAGCTATACAACGCTGTGAAAGTTTGGAAAAAAAAATTTGCTGATAATTTACTCACCCCCATGTCATCCAAGATGTCCATGTCTTTCTTCAGTTGAAAAGAAATTAAGGATTTTGATGATAATATTCCAGGAATTTTCTCCATATAATGTACTTCAATGGGAACCAAACGGTTCAAGGTCCAAATGAGAGTTTCAGTGCAGTTTCAAACGGCTTTAAACGACACCAGACGATGCATAAGGGTCTTATCAAGCGAAACGATCGGTCATTTAAAAAATAAATAAAAAAGTTTCAAGCTCAAATGCTCGCCTTGCTCTGTTCTGTGATGAGCGTTCGTGACTCTCCTGTTCAAACTCGTTCATCAAAATTAACAAATCTTTTTTCGAGTCATGACTCGAAGGGTCCTAGATAAGACCCTTATTCATCGTCTGGTGAAGTTTAAAGCCCTTTAAAGCTGCGCTGAAACTCCCATTTGGACCTTGAACCGTTTGGTTCCCAGTAAAGTCCATTATATGGAGAAAATCCTGGAACGTTTTCATCAAAAACCTTCATTTCTTTTCGACTGAAGAAAGAAAGACGTGGACATCTTGGACGAGATGGGGGTGAGTAAATTATCAGCAAAAGTTTTTTTAAAAATGATCTACTCCTTGAAGGTAAATCTAGTTCAGAGAGATCCACATTAAATAGTTTTGATTTAACAGGAATTTGAAAACACCGACTATCCTTATGAGTGGACCTTAGGGAATATAAAACAAAAATGAAATACACAATATGTTTGCTGTCCCTTAGGAGAGTTCATGAATGATGAGGGAATGTCTATTACACTGTGTGACCTCATTATGCGCTGGGACAGTATCTCCTTAATGCAGAAGAACAACTTCAAATACAGATATCAGAAAGGCTGTGAATGCAAGGTAAGAACACATTTCTTTAGAGATGGACGAAATATCGGCCACCATATTAGTATTGGCCGATATATGCTAATTTTTATGTTATAGTTATCAACCCAATAAAAAAATTAATTGGCCGACATATTAAATAATGTATGATTTCCTTCAGCTGAAACACTTCCAATGTTGGGTTGTTTTAACCCAATTTTAGGCCAAATATGGACAAACCCGAACGTTGGGTTAAAATTTTAATTAAAAAAATAACCCAGCGGCTAGGTTCGTCCACATTTGACCCAATGTTGGGTTAAAACAACACAGCATTTTTTTTTAGATTGTATATGTCATACAAGTCTGTCATATCGGCTACGTAAATTCCAGTCAACATGCCAATTGCACGCTCCCTCAAAACTTAAAACATCTGTGGAATTGTGCTCTGTGATAAAACTGCACATTTTAGAGTAGTCTTTTATTATGGCCAGCCTAAGGCACACCTGTGCAATGATTAGCATCATGGTGGCACGTAATGTGTCCAAACTCGGTCCTGGAGGGCCACTGTCCTCCAGAGTTTAGTTCCAACTTGCTTCAACACACCTGCTTGTAAGTTTTTAGCATGCCTAATGACCTTCAACATGCAGCTAATCAAGACTTTATAGCTGCGTTTAATTGGGGTTGGAGCTAAACTCTGCAGGATAGTGGCCCTCCTGGACTGAATTTGGACAGATGTCAGATTGGAAGAGATTTGTTTAGAGGACTCGAGACAGACTGCAGTACATTAATGGACTTTAACTGTACAATATACATCTAAGTTAAGACTAGTCATGATTGATAGTGTTGACTGGACAATCTGTGTCTGTTTATACTAATTTATGAAATATAACTGGACGCACACACGTCAAACAAGCATTAATGTATATTCATCATACGGTCTAATCAGTATCTTGATATGCCACACCTGTGAGGTGGATGGATTATCTGGCCAAAGGAGAAGTGCTCACTAACACAGATTTAGACAGATTTGTGAACAATATTTGAGAGAATTGGAATTTTTGGTTACACTTTACGGTAAGTGTACATGAACTATCATGAATTCATTCATGCATTAATATCTAAAAAATCACCAGGAACTAACACAAGTTCAATATTTTTCATTCATAATTTCATGAATGAACAACACCTTTATTAAAACATTAACTAAGATGAGCACATCATCATGAATTGTGATTTATTATGCATGATCATGATGTTTTCTTTGTTCTTTGTCTGGGTCAGTGACCTAGTGACCACTTTAGTTGAGGGGCCACACACATAATGAAGTCGTTAATAGATTAATGCTTAGTTAATGATGACTACTGTATTGAACAGACCCCAAAATCAACCAATCACAGCTCATAACACACAAATTCTGTTAATCAAATACAGAAGTCATCATTAACTAAGCATTATCTATCAATGACTTCATCGTGTGTGTGGCACATCAACTAAAGTGGCTAGGTCCTTTGAAACACTGATGTGCTATTAATGGTGGCATTACTGTGAACAAAGAATGCGTAATATGATCATGATGTTTTCTTGATGAAGTCATGAATGAACAAAGTTGAACTTGTGTTAGTTCCTGATGATTCATGAGATATTAATGAATGCATAATTCATGCATGAATTTATACATAAATTCATGATAATTCATGTACCCTTACAGTAAAGTGTTACCAACATTGGGTTATTTTTTTTAACCCAACCATTGGGTGTTTTCAAATCGTTGGTAATTTTGAGTAATAACCCAATGCACTGGGTTAAAATAACCCACAGTTGGGAAGGTGCTATACCACTTCATAGTTGGGTTACTCGTTGGGTTATTTTTAACCCAACATTTTAACCCAACTAGAATACTAAGAGAACCACTCATTCTCTAATTCATTTCAATGTCCAATCTGAGTGTACAAAAACATAACTGAAAGTATATATTGAATTTTACTGTAATATATTAATCTGCAGATCTCCAGCTGCACTGATCAGGCCTGTCAGCCCAGCTCTGAGAACGAGTGCGTGTTTGTTGAATGGTCTTCTTCGTGGTCAAAGTTCGCCTGCATCAGAAACAGCAACGGCTCCTGCAGCTGGTACACAGGAACGGCCAAAAACCACACACATACACACGTCTGACGTCTGCAAACCACACACACACCCATTAAGTCTGAGTGGAAAACAAACTGCTTGATGTTGATCGACTCTGAACACAAGCAAGGCCTTTAACCTCCTGCAACCACCCAGAATACTTTGCATCAGATTATTAGCATGTCGTATTAGTGTAATGCTTATATGACGACACATTGTTTCTTTTAGGTCATTTGATTTTCAAAAAAAACCAACAACAACAAAAACAGAAATTCTGCTTGTTTTTTGCATTTTAAAAAGAAGGGTTTTAGGGCAAATACGCCGTTTTCAACTGATCTGTAATGCCTAAAGATATCAGGAAGATTCTGCATGAGCCTTTCCTACATTTACACTTCTAAATTAATCTTTAGTATGTTACTATTTATCTGCATAATTTTGGCTTGCTGAAATTTTATGAGGTATTTTTTTTTACAAGTAATAAAACCTAAACATTAAAATAAAAATGTGCAGGAATTTAGGAAGCTGCCAACTGTGTCTATGTCTCTCTATTATGAAGCAAACCTCATGTGTTGCAATAGTTATTGTGGTGGTTCTTAGCAAATTACAGTATGCAGATTGTTAAAACTGTTCATTTAAGCATGAGATGCAGCTGCTTTAGATTAGACTAGATTAGATCAGTTTAGCGTAGTTTACCCAGACAGCAAACTGACATTGAATCAACGTGGAAACGACGTCTCTCATGACATTGAAACAACGTTGATTTTGCTCATCGAATTAACGTTGAACCAACGTCAGACGCGGCATTTTTTAAAGCTAAATGAAAATCGAAAATTGGTTTGCTTGCATAACGTTGAAACAACGCGTTGATTTCTAGTTGATTTTCCGTTAGTTTTGAAAGAATGACGCGTCTGACGTTGGTTCAACGTTAATTCGATGAGCAAAACTATGTCAGATCAACGTTGTTTCAATGTCATATTTCCACGTTGATTCAATGTCAGTTTGCTATCTGGGTAGCTTAGCTCAGATTAGCTTAGCTTAGTTTACTTAATGGACAGTCAACAAATTCACACAAATCACTGTTTCCATAGGTATGCAATTAACAATTAAAGTCGGCATGAAATCAAATTTGACAAATCTTCTTTTTATATGTAATATTGTAGTGTTTATTATAAATTATTTATCTGTGCACTGACTTCATTATTTTTGAAAAATTCATGTACCGTTATAATCTTTAATCAAATACATTACCCTTCCCTCCCCCATCGAAACGACCTCTCTTCTCTTTCGGTCACGTGTAATGGCGAAAGGGTGCGGCCAGAGTCGATGAGGGTGCGGCCTCTCCGATAATTACATTCAAATCTGCCTCCATTTTGTTTGCAACGCCCAACCTCCAACGATCCAATCAATTCCCGAATGAGGAAATCAAGCCCTGCCCTACATATTTTTCTAATTTCAGAAGCCGTTTCACTCGGATATACGTCACGACAAAGAAAAAATGACAATCTCAACTTCCGTTTCACGCGAACTTTAAAGAGTTCTGTGTGTAATAAAATAGCACGTTGATACATTTGTGTGTTGTTAACGGCAATGTCTTTAATCAGTGTTGTAGTACTCGAGACTCGAACTCGTCTCGGACTCGGTCTCGAGACCATATTTTAATGGTCTTGGTCTTGTCATGGACTCGGAATTGACTCGTACTCGAACATTTTTTTTTTTTAGGACTCGGAATTATTCCCGAGTCCACTCGAGTTCAATTAAAAATATTTTTCATGATTATTAATGTATGTTAATACAATATTTCTTTAAATTGTTTGACACGCCCAGTGATTGGTGATTTTCTAGTGCGCAACTGCGCATGACAAATTGTAATAAAATTACTTTTAACACCACCTACTATGTGGCCTTTTTACCCTAAACTGATCATATTTTTTAAACTCTAAGTAAATTCAGTAAAAAAAAAAAAAGGATTTCTCTAAGTCAATAAAAGTAAATTAGGTAATCAACCCTCACTGGTCTCAGTCTCGACTCGGACTCGACCGTCTCTGGTCTCGGACTCGACTCGGACTCGACTCTCTACGGACTTGGTCTTGACTCGGACTCGACTCTCTCTGGTCTCGGTGTCGACTCGGACTCGAGTGAGGTGGTCTCGACTACAACACTGTCTTTAATGAAATGCATTTATCTAGTATTGATTTCCACTTTTGTGTTCTGATGAGCATAGAGTTAAAAACTGTAAAAAGGGTTAATTTTAAGACATTATGTAACAAACTGGTCGAACAGTCATTGTGGACTCGTGCACAGCTGACCACTGAGAGTCAACAGCAAATGAATAACAGGGAACAGGAAACAACAGGAAATGATGTCATATCAGGATGTAACAAGAAACCACACAAAGAATCTCTTCAAGATTGTAAAATGATGATTTATATTGAAACGCACTGTGAAGGAGCCACGCAAAACAAAAGCAGGTAACGTCTGGCTTTAGTTTGAGATGATCCTGATTTTCATGCATTAAAAAGATCAGCAATAATGTAAACCTACTTTCTCTCAAGAAAATGTTTTAATAACTTATTATGCTCACATATATTCATTTAGCAGACGTGTCATCCAAAGTGAGAAACATTTGGTACAACAGCAAACACTTAAAGTACACTTTTAATTACAGAAATAAAATACTTTAAGAGTGTGAACTTAATGTAATGTTTTCAAATGTGAACATGTTAATTGCAATGAAGGTTAAATTTACATACCGGTAATGTTAAAAACAATTAGATGAACTTTATATCCTTATATCATAATTACTTCTTGTGAAACATGGTTAAAATTCCTGCTGAACGTACTAACAAGCATTTATGGTAAACTAAAATGTTATTTCTATTGAAACTTGTATGGCATGTATTTAAAGATATTATGTTACTACACATTTGTAACGACGAAGTTGCACTTTGTACATTTAAAATATATGCTCAAAAAAATGCTGCGATGTTTTGGGTCAAATATGGACAGACTCAAACATTGGGTTAAAAATGTAATAAAAAATTTAACCCAATGACTGGGTTTGTCCATATAAATTGTGTTAAAACAACCCATTTTTAAATGCTATATCAAATAACACACTACATTTAAAATTATGATCACGTGTGCTTCAGTATGTTAGTCAACACATCAGAATCTTTAAAGCACAAAAAAGATTATTAAAACATAATGATTACTAATGAACTTTTAAGTAAAACTTTATTTTTGACAATGGCCATTGCATATGTTACATGTAGTAATGACAGTAAATTATGTGTAATTACATGCAACTAACCATAAACCAAACTGTAACATACAGTAACTGGCCTTAAATTTCATCAATATTTCATTGTTTTTTTAGATGTCATTAAAATGTAATATTTGAAGTTCACTACAAGAACACATTCAGTACTATTAAGCACACTACTTTTAAAGAAAGGGTGTATTTTCTGTAACCAGGACATAATAACATAACTTATCTAAATTTATAATATTTTTTTTGCCATTCCAAATTGAGAAAAAAAAAACACGAATACAAATAACCGCCATGTATTATTATTATTATTTTTTTTTCAATGTATTTATTTTTGTGCGTGTTATATTTAGAAGAGAAGCACTGAGTGTTTCCTGCATGTGGACGGTCTCAGGGCTGAAGTGAATGAAAGCGAGGTGGTTCTGATCTTACCATGTCCCTGTAGTTCGAGTAGAACGTCTGATCAACGAGAGGGAATTTATCTGCTCCCAGTTTATTGTAGGTGCTGATCAGCTGAGCGAACTGGAACAAAACACAGAATCCATTTGGGTGAAAATGATGGCAAAAGTTGAACTTGAGTAAGCTCATAATTATAGACAAACCCAATCTGATTCAAATAACATGCAAACTATTTTGGAGATTTTTATTAAATCCGTCAAGTAATCCTCACAAAACTGATTTCAGACGGATTGCTGAGGCAGCATTACGGTTTAATGATCAACAATACAACAGAGCGAGCTAAGCAAATACTACAATATTTCTCTATATAGTTATTATTATTATTTGGTTCAAATAGAGATCATGATTCTCCCAAGATTCTGAACAGACAACTAAATATAACAACAAATTCTGAAAAAGAATACGAATTGCTGCAGTCTATTTGAAAATGTTTAACTAATTAGAATGAATATTTTAAATTGGTTTGAGTAAATAATTCAATAATTCACTCATAGACCCCATTTACACCTGGTATTAAAATGCGATCTGTATCCAGATAAGTTATCCGGATAATAAGTACCGATTCCATTGATTTACACCTGGCCACATACATGTGTTTTTGCAAAACGGATATAAATCCGATCTTAAACTCCCGTGTTATTTGCAGATTTAATGGATTGCACGCCACCAAAAGCCTGGGTCGGGGCGCTTACACTGCAGGTGCAGATGGCGCCTAGCCGGACATGAGCAATGGAGGGTGTCAGCCGCAGGGCAGGGCTGGGAGACCCGAGGTGCTCGCTTAGCTAGCTCCGGTATTTATATCCGAACTATAAACTTTTATCTTTCACCTTAAAACACAGTTGAATAAAAGCACACTCACAGCCCATGGTTTGTCACAGAGGTTGTATATGGACTCGAGTGAGTTGACACTCGGGATCCCAGCGTACTGTAATCCAATGATTATGTTCCTGAAGTCTTCGTTCTGAGCCATGCTGTACGCGTGCTGTCGGACCAGGACGAAGTCAGGCTTGAAGGACCTGTGAGAATAATAACACAGATACAGCAAATCCTGTGAGAATAATTTACAGATACCGCAACACACACACACACACATGCACCCATTGGCTTTTGGCTTGCTTTGTGGACATTAAATTTAACATTTAATCTAATATTCAACATTATTGATCTCCAGCATTGACACCATTATATGAGAACTCAACTGAGCTGGACGATGACATCACTGTTTACTCCAGAGCGGCTCTATATATATAAATGAACTAAATTAATAACTTTTTACCACAAAAATGAAACATCACTGAACTTACTAAAGCTGGACTGTGACGCTACTTTCTTCTGGAAACAAGCTTTGTTGCATTATTTTCCTATTATCCCTGTAAAGCTGCTTTGAAAGGTGACTTGACCCAGTCATACACACACACACACACACACACACACACTCTCTCTCTCTCTCACACACGCACACTCACTCATCTACAGTGGTGTAAACCTCCAGTGTGAGTATCTGTATTTCTCACACACACCCACGGTCTGTGTTTATGATAAGTTGTCTGTGTTTCGGCTTCCTGTATTTCAGCGGAATCACATTTGTGGTCGTTGTGACAGTAAATCACTTCAGTTTAGATCTTACGGTCACAATCTCGGCTTTTATCACTGGAAGTCACTGAAATTTCAGCTGTGGACTTTTAGGTGGTTTCACTTTATTTGAATGGTCCCTTTAAACACATTATGTTGACTAGGTAATGTTGCACCTACATCTCTACTAACTCTCACTAGACTGTTAGTAGAGTATTAGGTGACTG